GGGTAGAGGGGGTGATATTTAGAGCACTGATGCATCTAATGACACATCTAGTAGGTTCATATGTCCATCACTGGTACATATCTTAGAGACTTGATCAGTACTTACAGGGGTAGAGGGGGTGATATTTAGAGCACTAGTACTGATGAATCTAGGTTTTATTTAAGTCAATCATTGGCAACACCACCATAGTGACTTCTGTCATTGATCAGTAGGGGTAGAGTAATAAAAGCAATATGATGTCTTTCACAGGGTATTGATGGTTTTCACGGCAGCCATGTTGGAGTAACTTAACAAAAGAATTGTCAAGGAATTCTTCTGTTATATCCTCCAACATGGCCGCCGTGTCTTTTGTTATTCAATTCTCTTGGGAATGGTAGTGAAAACCATCAATAGAAAAAAGGTGGCCGCGATCAAAATTTCTGTTTTCTGCTGATTGGCTGGTGTTGCACTCGCCTCTCACTTCTCGGGGGACTCGAAACTGGTCACGCGTGTTGAGTACGTTGAGTTTGTTGGGTCTCTTCCTTGATTTTAGGGTTTTTCGCCCGGTTCTTCTCTGGTTCTACTCCCTTTCGAAACGCCGCGTCCCTAACTGTAAATCAGCCCAGAGTGGGTTAGTGTTTCAGGGCAGGATCTGTGAATTGGCCATGTCTTGACCTTGATCAGCCCAGGGGTTGTTCCAGGATTCTATCTTTGAGTTAGTCGTGCCCTGACTTAGATTAGCCCAGGGCCGGGTTGTTCAAAGCTGGATTAGCGCTAATCCAGGATTAACTCTATAGGTCTTATTAAGAGTTAACCCAGGATTAGCACTAATCGGGCTTTGAACAACTGGGCCCAGAGGTTGTTTCGGTGTTTGATCTGTGAGTTAGCCGTACCCTGACTTTGATCAGCCCAGAGGTTATTTCAGGTTCAATCTGTGAGTTAGTCATGCCCTGACCTTGATCAGCCCAGGGATTGTTCCAGGATTCGCTATCATTGAGTTAATCGTGCCCTGACTTAGATTAGCCCAGAGGTTGTTTCGGTGTTCGATCTGTGAGTTGGACATGCCCTGACTTAGATGAGCCCAGAGGTAGTTTCAGGGTTCAATCTGTGAGTAAGCCGTGCCCTGACTTTGATAAGGCCAGAGGCTATTTCAGAGTTCTATCTGTGAGTTAGCCRTACCCTGACTTTGATCAGCCCAGAGGTTGTTTCAGGACATCGATAAAATGTGAAAGCTGTTATCATTCTTTCTTTTTAAGTCCTTAATACTATAGATAATTTATGAACTGAACCCTTCTAACAATAGCTGCAACACGTGCCCTTGCATGATCCATGTACTAAAGAACTCTTTACGTCTAAATCAGATCYTATCCTTTTTATTTCAGGCCTGGTAAAATTCTTCAACAAAGTCGAAAATGCATACTTCAAACTCCACCCTCACGAAATCCCGTACAAGTATGGAGTGACCCGCGAGGAAATCGTACTAAATTACCATTGGTATGATCCGAAACCCGCAACCATTAAAGCCATCACAGACGCAGCGGAGTCTTTGTCACAAGAGCTAAAAAAACTTAACATCAGAAGAGAATTATTAAAGCCGAGAGAAGCTAAAGTTCTAAGCAGTGTAGAGCATTTTCTGGAGCAAAACTTTGGAAGCGCTTATGACAATGGTTACTACACAGGTATGGCAACTGTATAGAGTAATGCAAGGGCGGGTCCAGTGGGGGGCAAAGGGGGTCTGAAGCCCCCCTTCAGCAGAAAAAAAACAACAAAAAAACAAAACAAAACTGAAGAAGTAGATGCTTTTTTACTGTTTTCCGTTGTGTTGACGGAAGAAACTCAATTAGCNGCCCCCCCCCCCCCCCCCCTAAACTTTTGGCTGGATCCGCCCTTGTAAGTGGTTATTTAAATCCTATTTTCCCTTGTGATAGAACTCTTAACCCTCGGCATATTGTTTTCCCATTTCAGCTACATGTCATTTTCTTGGGAATAAGCCGGATGTTTTGTTTGACTTGTGCCATATTCATGCGTCTTCTTGACGTACGCAACCCGCGTTAAACAAATATATAAATGGTACTCTATAGGGAATGACGCTGAAATGGGAAAGAATTAATTAAAAACTCTCTAAATGTAATTRAAAAAGGAAACCGCCTTGGTTTTAAAGAATTTCTTCATGATAATTCATAGTTTTTTAGAGTTCAATACTTGACAATGACAAATACACTAAAGAATGCAATGCATAACTTGGACAATACAAACCCTTTAAGAATACACAGACCTTCACTCCACTTATGTAAACATAAATATTCTACTTAAATTCGAGACTAACGCTGAGCAACAGATATTAATTCGAAACTGCGGCATCTGAATTATTCAAAATGCTTTTGTTTCTCGATGTGGAGACCAAAAGAAACAGGGATGCGGCCAATTTGGCACTTGCGTACCGGATAAATGACGCGCATGGCGATATCACATGGTGCAATCTCGTACCCAGAGCCCGCGTGTCTTCTGGCCTGCGGCAAAGAACGAGGGCTCTAGCATAATCCATTTTTGGCGCATGCGCAATTTTTTGCAATTGATATATATATATTATTAATGAAAATCGTGCTTTACAGTCAAACAAGCTCACGCGTTGACCCCTAGAGTCGATTAATGATTTGAATTTTCGAATTTTGATTTCATYATTCAGTTGAAATTTACAACGTCGAAAACGAAGATGTGAAAATTCCAATCAATTTTGAATTCAATATATGACATTTTGATTGGTTAATCAGTGCTAACACAGCCGGAAGACCAAGAAAAAATGCGGCCAGAAATAGTCTTGGCCGTGTTTATGTGCCGGGAAAGCCTTTACCTGATATTATTCGACACGGAAATTGTTAATATCAGCAATAGCGGATTGTCCAATTAAGCAATTTCGCGACAACTGAAAAATTTCTAGTTGGGGTATCCAGAAAATACTTCAACATTATCGACGACATGGAACTGTGTCTCCATTTCGCTCAAGGCGGGAGCGTTCCCTACAAAATTACTGATGATATTCGTCAAGTAATTGAGGCATGGAAATTACAAAACCTAGTGTGTATGCTTATAAAATAAGAGAGCGACTTCTGCTTGAAGGTATCTGTAATTTAGATGATTTACCTTCTTCATCACGAGTCGAATAATGAACTAAATTTTCATTTGAATATTGCAATATTGCATTATTCTGGTTCGTACGTATAAAAGGAATAATTGACTAATGATTTCATTAATCGAATCTAGAGGTCAACGCTTGAGCTTGTTTGACTGTAAAATAAAGTTGTGTGTTTGCTTCCGATCAAAATAATAAAAAAAATCGGGAACATGTTGTTTTTATATTTTTTGACAAGTCTTTAAACGCATGCTCTCTTATTCCGGAAGTCCAAGGAATTCTGCTAAAGGCAAAGAGACGCAGGCGGCTCTGGGTACAAAGATTGCAAATGTTGCACTTTGTATGCATGAACTTCGAAACGAAATAACCATTGTTAAAAAAAGATTGCACAAGGAATACTCCATTTTACAGTTCAGTTCAGTGACCACGAATAATAGTTCCAAGTCGAGCTGAGGCTGGAGTTTCCTCGCATAGCAAAACTATACTTTTTATCATGCGCTCTAACTCCAGCTTCAGCTTGGAACAATTGAAGTATTGAAGTTCTTATGAAGTAAACCTTATTAAAACTGTCTAGTTTATTGGAAGATTTGAAAAAAATATTGTGAATGAATTCACGTCGGGCTAGAAGGGCTAAAAATGTCTCATTTTGGCAAAACTGTTTTTGTATTTTATTCAAATTTCTCGAAACTTGGTAACATTGAAGATTTTAACAAATCTCACCACTCTGTCGTTTTACATTTTTGAATTTCTCTTTTTTTGGCGGGAAAATGACGTCATCAATTTTAACTGAAAACCGAAATACTCCTCAATGGAAAATTCTAACTAGCGCATTTGAAAGAATTTCACATGTAGAGTTCAAAATTGCAAAATTTGTTCTTTCTGATATGGGAACCAAAAGATACGATTTTTTGAATATTTAGGAAGCCGCCATTTTAATACTATTCTTAGAAATTTTAATGAAATGAGACATGAGACATTTTTTAGCCCTTCTAGCCCGACGTGATTGAAATGTTTTTAAAAATCTTCTCAGTAGGTATACTTTGATAAGATTAACTATATATAACGGATATTTTTCTCTCGATACAGGAGAATGGATGTTAGGTCCTAGCCGTTTCTGCTACATGCAGCTACTGTCAAAACTTCAATTCTCTTTCAAAGCATTCCTTTTCAAAATTCAGCCTCGCACAGTCGAAGATATAGAACTCATCACCAAGGTCTTGAAGGGCATGCGCGATGGTATCAACCAATATCGACAGAATCTAGAAATGGGGGTCAAGGTTGGCATGGTAAATTCTATCGAGGAATGCATAGCAGGCTATGACTGTCTAGTCAACGAGTTTCCTTTTATAGGCTCTGACCCTTCACCTGAAAATATCTTAAAAGAACATGCAGGAATTATGTTTGTTAATCAACACGTTTACGAGTTGTGGTTTAAAAATGCTACCGAGCCTTGGCGTCGAAAGTATGGAACGTCATTAGTGAGTTTTCTTAAAGACGTGGCTGTTGAGAATCTTGGAAAACCGCTCGCTGACCTCTTTCTGTACCTTTCTGGCGACTACAGAAACCACTGTGTTCCTAGTAATGTATCCAGTGGTCTTGCGACAAGACCAGTCTCTTATGTCTACACAAACGGAGTGGCAAACCTGTCTCAGCCGACCACCCAGACACTACCGACGGGAGAGAAAGCAAACGGGAAAAAGGCTTATGAAAGAATCATAAGATTTTTTACCACAACCAACTCGACACCAGGTAAATTGGCCCCAAATGTGGGAACTGAACACAATCATACGAGTATATAAACTTATATTTTTATATTCTACAACCATCACTCCCCGTACGGGGATCTTTCGTTACGTGTACGGACTACCACTACATTCTATATTTACAACGTCATGTAACACTCAATTTACATGTTGATTTTTTGATGGAGGAAACGGGAGAACCCGGAGAAAACCATCGTGGCAAGGGAGAGGACAACACATCAAACACATTTAACTCACATATAATCCAGTCTGAGCCGAGGCTCGAATCCGCGTGCCACAGTGGTGAGAGGCGAGTGGTGAACTACTACGCCTCCGATGCCATCATTCGACTCACCATTTATTTATTCATTTATTTCAGACGAAGTTCACGAGCTCGGATGGAAAGTTCTTCGAACACTCTACCCTCAAGTTATCGAGATAGCAAAGATAGTAACAAATAAAGAGAACGAGGTCCAAGCCGTGGTTAATTTCCGCAAGTACATCAACTCCAGCGAGATGTACTTTAACAAGGAACCCTTCCCAGCAAACGAGTCGGATGAACATGCTCACAAATTCTGTTCAAAGATGTCAAGTAAGAGATTTTTTACGAGAGGGGAGGGGACGGGAGGGTGGGGTTACCCGGTATACCAACCACCTCTTGAAGGAAAATCCTGAATTGTGTCCTCAAATATCTCAAAGTCAAACCGCAGACATGAATGTACTTTCTGCATGTTTGCATGTATGCTAAACAATATTTTTCCATAGAAATAGTCACTACGACAGACACCCAATATCAAGCGTTTTAGCAGGTCTCTGAATGGGGTGAGATTGAGGGGGGGGGGGGGGGGGGTGGAGTATTTACTAATACGCACCACAATTTGTTCTTTCTTTTCCAAAATTGTTTTGTCCTTGTTGCTATAAGTTTGGTCTTTGGCGTTTTGTATATTTTTCAGTCGTCTGTTAAAGACCAAATTTTTCAAGAACGCTTTTATATTTCATATTTCTCGTCACCGAGCGCCTCTTTGCAGTTAGCCTTGCTATTGTGCACGTTGTCAGGACACTGTGCTATTGCATTCGGTCTATTCAATGTAATACTCCAGTTTCGAATTCTCTGTCCTACAGGGTTAGCGCTCGATTTCGTATGGAATTACTTTCAATATCCATTCATTCCAGTAAAAACCGTGAAATCTCAGAGTGTTTATCGCTGAAGTTGTACATTCTTTACTTTACCGTTGGTAATTGTGAATATTTGTATGCTGAAATGAGGCTAACCCTGTAAAAATGAGTCTGTGATCAAGGAACACAGCGATATTTGACTCATTCGAAAACTGTCTATTATATGCTGTTCTCAGGTGCCAAGATCCTTTGCCCTGTGCGTTACAAAACTCTCCAGGAATGGTTCAGCTACACACGAAGCACTCTCAGCATGTTACGACCACGAATACTACACATGTTTTACTGGTTAGTAGGCCCCAAGAAGACAACACCAGTCTGCCCTGTCTCTATGCAAGCAAACTTTCAGCCCACGTCTGCTTCACAAAGCTACCGTCCAAGTGGACCGACGTGCCACTTTCCAGGAACGTATTTTGTACCTTTCTTTCTGGATAGGATGGGACCGAAGTACTCTGAATGGTCTGTCAATGCACATGAGGCATTACCTGGACACCATCTTCAATCACAAGGAAGATTCGAAAATTTCTTAAGGTACTTTAAATGAAGTAAAAATTTTTTTWAAATTCTATTCACATCATCATCTTCTGCATGTTGACGGTTAAATTTCCCCCCGATTCAGATCACGTACGTTTTCACTCCGTGAAAATCTAGAAAACTGTATTAGAATTGATAAAAATTACCTATTGTAAGCTATATTAAAAAAATGTCTTAAGCTGTTTTTTTAAAAACGCCAATAAGTGATCTAATTTCCCGAATATTCATAGGAAGGCTGTTCCACAATGTGGGGGCAGCAGCATAAAAAGAACGAGCCCCTAATGTAGAAAGCATACGCCCCTTACTCATATTTGTCTTATTTTTTATTCATTCAACCAACATTGTGGCTAAGCAAATTAGCAATAGTTCGGTGTCCAACTGACCCAACCGGTTTTTTTAAAATGCGCTGCAAATAATGATTTCCTTTGTCATTTCGATAACAGAAATGACAAGTGTGTACCTCTTCTTGGTGCTCTGATCCGCTCGCAATACTCCAACGAGGCGTTTACCGAGGGATGGGCCTTGTACGCAGAGGATCCTTTGATTGCAAAAGACACCAGTGAGTATAAAACCAGTCTACGACAATCTCGTACGCAGAGCCCTTATTTCTTACTGCGCATGCTCGACGAAATAATTGATTTATTTAGTCGAGCATGCGCAGTTAGAAATAAAGACTGGATACGAGATTGATCAAGGGACATAAAGTATTATTTTCAGCGTATGTTTTTCAGGGCATGGAAAAACACTGACATCGAATCGCCTCTAAAACTATTAATAGGGGAGGCTAAGAGGATTTAATATTGGGTGCCCCTCTTATAGCTCCCCATTTTCATTATAGCCTTCCTATAAGCTGTTCTGAGGTTGACGAAAAATGAGTCAAATGTGCAGTGCGGTGCATTGTTGGGCAGAAGGGGACGTAATAGACGCCATCTTGGAAATGTCCCCCAAAACRTCCCCACAATGCATTGCAGTGACAACTCGAACCATTTTTCCGTCCACCTCGAAATGGATAATTACTAAGACTGAACAGTGCCCAATGTTTATTTGTAACCTCCCAGATACCTACGATGGTGAACCATTACAGAAGTATGGGATGCTCAAATGGCAAATATGGCGCGCACTTCGTCTGATTGTCGACACTGGTGTACACTACAAAGGGATGACGCGACAAGAAGCTCTTAAACTATTCAGTGAATACGCCTGGGATGACAGCGACGTTGCCCAAAAGGAAATGACTCGATATCAGAGCGGTCCTGGACAAGCGACCGCGTACATGATTGGTCAGCGTGCAATCATAAACATGCGCAAAAAGGCCGAACAAAAGCTTGGAAGCAAGTTTAACTTGAAAGACTTTCATTATTACATCCTATCGTGCAGTCCTGCACCTTTGAAATTCGTAGCGCATCAGATTGACAGGTATATAGATTGCGAACTGGATAGCCAAGGGCCAGGCTGTGAACATTTCCTGGTTAACACAACCAAGTCAATGACGTCTTCCAATGCTAACAAACAGTATTCGATACTTGATGACGAGACTTTGAATGCACCGGGCATCCATGAACTATGAATATCTACAATCAGTTGATCTCATGCAAAAAGGCTGTGCCTTGATCATAAGAGTTTTATATCGAAGCTCCTGTCTGCACAAAAATAAGGTCAATACGGCTCTTATTTCTTAGGGCATGTGAAAGGGTCAGCCATTTGTAATACTATAGGTTCACCAAGTACTTTGGCCAACCCCACTCACTCATGCCCTGAGCCAAGAAACTTCAGATCCAAAAGCCCTAAGTAGCAGAATTTGAAACTGGAGTACGTGTTGACTTTTAATCTCTATAGCAGTATCACAGTAGATCATCAAGGCACTACTTCGACGATACGGCGGCCATCTTACCAGGTCATCTCGTATGTCTTTCTTTTATGGATAAAGGTGATAGATATGCCTACTTAATTCATCTTTTCTTGTATTCTGTTGTGTAGGGCTGTTAATATCGATTTAAGTCATTACTGTACCAAAGCTTTATTTACCCCCTGGACGCCCCATAATGCCTTGCGATCCAAGATGGTCATCGTGTCGTCGAAGTAACCAATTGCCTATGATGTGGCTAGATTCAGTATTAATGAATTTTGTATGGGATATTCAGTATAGCGACAGTATTATACCAACCAACATGATTTGATAGACCTATGGTATRCCTATGATTTAATACTACCATTCTCAAATAATATTCTGCAAACTTGGTAGTTGAAAGCTGCATGCCAAAATTTGATTTTGATTTTTCGCTGCCATTATTCAAAAATAATCATTCAATCTCTTTTATATTTTTGACCGGTAGCAGCAAGCCGTTAAAATGTCTGCAGTAACCATTGTCAGAAAGATGCAACACCATGTAAAAGTTTTGGCTCATGCTGTAACATATAAAACTGCAATCAACTTCCATGGAGCTGATGATAAAATTTTATTAACAACCGTTATGATGCTAATGAAATTGCATTTTGTGTGTATGCAAGAGAGAATTTTAGATGCAAAATTGAAGAGTCTTACCAAGTTATAGATACTCTATGAATGGAAATATTATGGTGACCAATTTGAATACTATTGTTCTGACCATCTAGCTGTTCACGTGAAAACACAAAAGCATTTTCACATGTAAGAGAGGCTAGTCAGTCCAGAACAATAGTAAGTTATTAAAATAGGCCAACAATCAATCTAAATTTGGTCAAAAGTCCAAATGCTTTTGCCATCCAGTAATAATCTTGTGACAGTCTATTGCAAATGGCCTATTGGACACCATATTTTGATGAAAAAATAGAAAACGCGCGCGCATGCTGTGTGCTATCATAAAGCAAGCGGGGGTTGTCAGAACATGAGAGAAGTGTTAGGAGAAGCATGACGCGTAGTGGAGTGCTTCTGGACACTTCTCGAGTGTTCTGCCAATCCCCAAGTGCTTTAGGCTGCATACAGCACAGCAAGCAAGTTTTTTATTTCTTTTATAAAATACAAATTACAATAATAGATAGGAATGACGCAACGGAAAGTGCGCGCGCGTGCAATGTGCTAACATAAAACGCGCTCCAAACCAATCAGAACACGACATTCATAACAGTTATTTTCTAATACGGTGTATTTTGAATATCTTATTGGAAAATTATCTTTAACTGAGAACACTTTGTATGATTTGGGAGACACGGTTATCCAACAAACCTTTGTCAACTTTTTTAAAGTTTCTTACAATAGAAAAAATTTGAAACTGGATGTTGTCAGCTAAGAACTTAGGTTATATGTGAAATGCTTATAACCAGAAAAATATAATAGTGTTCATAAACATTGCCGATGTGATGTTCATGTGTCAACTATTTTAACAATAGGTTTTGTCACTTTGCTTTATTGAATTGCCCAAAGATTTCTGGTCCACGATTTAGATAACAATCAACCAAAACAAATTTCATCTCTTTATGCTCACCTATAAAGATAAACATTGTATTTATCATACATAATTTGGGGTATACCATTCATGAGTATGAAGATTGCTAATGTTTTCATTCAAAGCCCTGTACCATTTTGAAAGGTAACTGTGCCTGAGCATTGAAGTAAGAACTGCAGTAATCTTCCAATGATAGACATCCCTTTTAACATTTTGAATAATTGTTTAAATGTCTCCTGGCCCCTTAGCTCCCCCCTGCATATGCTCTCCCATTGCTTTGATTGACAGCATGGTTACTTTCAAGATGGCGCAAGGAACTGTGAAGGGGACTATTAAAAGTGATAACCCATGATTAAAAAGACATGCTAGCATAACCATTTTGAAGCCTTATTGTCTTTGTTGAATAAGTATATTAATTGGGGGCTTCAGCTAAGTTTTCCAAGCTACACATCACTTGTGCCAAAGCAAGCCTTTAGCTCTCCATCCATACCATAATTTTGATTTTCCATTAAAAGAAACTACTTCAAAGACTTTTGTTTCTTCTTTGGAGGGATTTCCTCTTCATTCCTATTCCTCTTTCCTGATGTTATGAGACTTTCATTACAATCAACTCCTTCCCTTTCATTTTCCATTTCTCTTTTCTTTCCCATTTTTTGTAGCCCACTTTTCACAGAACTAATAAGGCATCCACCTATTGTTGATTTTTCTGTACTCCTTCTAGCCTGTGCATGGTACAACACTGCCCTAACATTTCTAGACACTGCTGCCTTGCACTGTTCTTCTTTTAATCCAAACAGCATGCCTAGATTCGCTACATCGTAAGCCCCCCGTAGGTCAATTTGATTTTCAGCTTCACTAGACATGATAACGTTTCTTCCCTTTGATGCGCGAACAAGTTCCATTGCATTACTCATAATATAACGTCGTTGGGTATTATCTCTTATTGCCGGGGAGTATACAATCTCAAAATGAATTCCTCTTTCAATGGCTTGTTTGACCTGAGGTAGTTTTATGTAGAATGGCAGACGAGAAGTCATATCGATTGATATGATATCAACATCTAAACTTCCACAACACTGTTGAAATAACTTATCACTCGCAGGCCGTACGGCCAAGATATCATATGAAAGGACTGTATCTGTTGCAAGCTGATGCATTTGACTGTTTTCTTCCAGAGGAACAGTCAAACGAGACAGAATTTTCAGATTTTTGTTCTTCGCCTTCAAGGTTTTCACAGCTGGTATTTCATTCCAATTTATAGGCGGAGGACATGACGTTTTAAGCTTGGTTTTCTTGTTGTTAGTGAGCAGGAAGGTAGAGCTTATTGCTATCGTTTCATATCCAAGTTTAACGGCTTTAGAAATAAGGATTTCAGTTTCTCTTGAGTCGTTTTGATGCACGATGCAAAGATCACCAAAAGCCGCCATCTTGGATTTGAAGAATGACCGCTGAGAAATGTTCCGCGGGCTAATACCCAGGTAGCCCACGAGGCATAAATGCCCTCGAGAGAAAAATTCTACAAATATTTTCTCCGTACATCGAAAATGACGAAACATATAAATGTAAAAGACTGTATGCAAGACCATTTAAGATCCATGGGGAATGGATCTAAGCAAACAATGTAGGACCGAATGATTTCAAAAGAGAATTTCGAATGAACTTTGTATGTTGCTACCCAATGAGCTACGCTTTTAAGAGAATGGAGGGGAGGTAGTAGAGGGAGGGGATTTCTTGAAGGTTTTAGAGCGGGTCTCACTTTTCACTACCATTCTATTGCACTTTCAGGGAATTCGCTGAAAACTGGTTATGAGTAGGATGCGCACTATTTTCTCGGCAATATGGCGCATGGTAAAAGCAATTAGGGAGAGGAGGGAGGTATGAGACAAGACAAGAAAAGACAAGTTGACTGATTGGGTTGAGTATTGATAAAAGTCACAAAACCCCTTACATTTATCATATATCTGCAGTTTGACACTCGCATAACCAAGTGTTTTTGTGAAATTGCACGGTCGAGTGGAAAAGTAAACTGATATTAGCTCACGGTTTCACAGGAAATGACTTCATCACACTCTCACTCTTTTGAACCTGCAAGATTAATATTGAACCCAGCAAAGTCTGCCTTGAAGGTCTCAGTTCTAAGTGTCAGCCGTTTATTGACAAGCAGATGAATACATCCTTCAATACGGTTTACCAGTCCGAGACAACAACCTTTGTAATCAACTTCCTCTTGTTTATACTGCCTACGTCGCCAGTATTGACCCAATATTCATCATTTTAGCTCATATATAGTTAAAAGAGCTATCCAGCTTTAGCTTACTGAAAATTCGTCCGCAAAACTAAATCTTTACCACTTTTTTTTTTTAATTAGCATTCTATTAGCTTTTATCAACAACCGAGCAATATTTTTTGTAATAAGCTTTGTTGATAAATTTATGTGTCTTGGTCTGTGAAATTGGTTTGCAGGTCATTGACCAAACCCATGAGAGCCTTTAAGTCACCATAAAGCCAATTCTGATATAAATGATTAAAATAAGTCGAAGACAATCAACGAAATGTCACCGCGAACTCACTGCAACATAATCTGTAATCACACATTTCCTCTATCATTTATCCGAATTTAGAAGTCTTTTCTATCCAAATTTAATGAAATGAACTAGAGAGAGATTAAACCTGGACTCGTTAATTATATCATTGATAATGACCGGCTATAAACTACGCATGTGCAGACTTTTGGCGACGTTTTGATTGAAGTGAGCAGAACAGTTGCAGTGCACGTAGATGCTGGACGAAAATACAGTATTTCAAGTCGGCGCAAAGGTGAGTGATCAGCAGATGTAAAATATCCCAATTTGCTGCATGATATTTCACTGTCTAGGATTCTAAACTGATTCAGAATCAAGGAGGAATATAGCTATTTATACCATCAGCCGTCCATTTTTTATCGAAGGTCAAATGGGTCTAGCTAATGAGCTCATTATGTAGTCGGGTTGTTTTGAATAATATGACTCTAAATGTTTGTTTTTTTTTCGAAGAGAAAGATAAACGAAGTCTTGACTTAAATATTACATGTTAAGAGGCTCACGAAAGCTTTAATTGAAAGTGTGTAAAAAATAAATAATCCCTGTGTAAATTCGACGATAAATATCTAAAAGTAATAAGGTTTCGGCGGAGAAAACTTGTGGTTTTGTGAGGATGCGTTAGGCAAACCACAGATGATAATGGGGCTGATCAATTTGAATTCGAATCCCAACCACTATATGTCTTATAAGTATAAGTGTGTACAGTTGGAATCCGAACAGTATATTTTTATTCGTATTTACATGAAATTCTTGACTTGGTCATCGAACCAAAACAGTTTAGTTAGACTAATTGGCTCAGCAATGTTTCACTCGACTTAAAGAATTAGCAATGATGAAAATCCTTTTAAAAATGACTTTACAAGTTAAATAAACCGCGAGCCTTCTTATTRATGTCTAGGATAAAAAGAAGAAGTAAATTAACGTGTAACTGGTTATATCCCGTGTAGATAAAACCCAATACCAAGTCAATTAGTGTTTCTTTTGTTAATGCCGTGGTTCAATAGATATCATTAATATTCCATGATTAAAGACATTTTGAATGTTTTTCAACAAAACTTGAAAGAATTGAAATTACAAGGCTGAAAATTAGTGGTTAATGAGTTCCGACAAAAAAGGAAAATGTTCGCAAAAACGACTTCATTAAGTTAATTAAAAGAAAAAAAGTTATTTTCATAACACCACCTAAGCCCCTTATTATCGTCCTCTAGACTGTAGATTAATAGACCAATTAGCGATCGGGTTTTATTGAAAATAACTAATGATAAAACTCCTATCCAATCTGACTAGCAACTTCGTTAGGACTCAGTAACTGGATCGATCTCTGAAACGAAAAGTCCCCAACTTTTGTTTTTACAATCCAAGCTGATAAAAGATTATTACATATTTTATGACCATTAAATTTTAACGGTTACAGGAGAACGAGCTGCCATAGATATATGATCAAGAGGTAATCTTTTTGATATCATTTGCCGAACCAAGCAGCTAGCAGCCCGGTCGATTCATTTTGAGCTGATTTCTGATATAATGAGGTCTCACGTCTCAATATGAATCCARTTCATTATCTTGAGTGCTGACTTACTTTCAAGACTTTTTTTTAAAATTAGCAGTCAGAGACATTTTGATTTAATTTATAGGAATGCAGTAAACGTTGAGTTCTTGTGCTGTATTGAATTTCACTCTTAGTTTATGGGGGAAAAGGTCGAGTTTCGGAAATATACGAGATTTCAATTCGCTCGCTTTTTTCTTCAGAATTATGGCGGGAAAGAGAAAGCTCTTTATGCGCGCTGCGTGCGCAATTTTTCCCGCGCTTTTTATTTGTCGACTTTTTTCAGTCGTGAACTAGCCATACTTTCGGCTCTAATACTCTGATAATGACTATTTTAGATAATAAATRTTATATTTTCAATAACTAATATCGTAATAGTCTATTGCATTGAATTTTGATAAATGATTACGAATTGAACTTGATTTAACTTCAAACGTCGAAAACAATAGAAGACGTTCACCAAACAGTGTTTCCAGTAATTACAGATGTTATAAAACCGAAAATGAGAATGCGAGCGAAATTCAGCATTTTCAAGCCAAGAATCCCATAGGTTTTGTTTTATTTTGAAACATGGCTTCGATCCGAGTCGACAAATCAAAGCAAACGGAAGGCGCAGAGATTCTCATCGATTTTAGCAATCAGTCCACCGTGAACTTGTTATCGTGTTATTGAGCATCACCATGGAGATATGATCAAGCAATCTATGGCTGCCTTATTAAGATGTGAAGGTATTATCAGCATAAGACATTCCCTAGAGCGCGCTTCCTTTGGTTGAGAGATATCATAACCTATTGAGTAGTGTACAAGCCAAGTCTATTGATCACAGGTCAAAATCATCACTTTCGAGCCAAGGCCCAAATAACGAAGACGAACTTCAACTTACCCTTTGAAAGGTACGAAAATATTTTGAAAAAAACTCTACTAGATAGAGAATAAGAAGAGGTCTGAAACAACTTCCAAAAATATTGAAAATCATATCACTACACCACCTTTCCTTGGCGGTTAAAAATGTTCCCGAAATGCATGTTCATTACCCGTGAAGAGCATCGCAGACTGGCCGAATACGCACTGAAATGACTTGGTAACGTGGGTTGACGAAGCATAGATAATTCACAAAATTCTATAAACTTTGCTTCTGTATGTATAAGGCGCTATAATACCATCGTTCTCAGATATTTTTAGGCTTAATTAATTATGATTTTCTTCAGTTTTWTTAATGCCTTTTTTTCCACATGGTTTTTTATATTTTTTGCATCGCTAACTTTGACACGTAACGTCCAGCCCCGAAGCAGTGATTAACCCAACAGTACTATTTTTTTTATTTTTTTATTTTATTATCATGATAACCTAGCTCATTTTATTTATCATGAACCTTAGTTCAAGTTAGATAGAATTTTATGACTTGATGTGATTAATCTGGATTTTCCCCCTCACTTATAAAACCCTATCTTGCCTATCAATTTATATACATCTTGTAAGGTGACAGTCCTCTGTTCTTTAATAGTCAATATAATCGAAAGTTTCAGTCAAGGTCACGGCCAGATTCTCATATGTCATCTAACTGTGCTTTAAGTCTTATAAATCCCCACCACTTAATGCCTTAAAGTCGCTAAACAGATGTGTTAAACGTTGGGGTGGTGGGAATCAGCGAGTCGTCGAACGACCAAGTGTCCGTTGCAAGCCGTGACACACCGAGCCGTTAGCTCTGGATGCGTAGTATAGCAGTTCGTTTCTGTACGTTCTGACAAGTAAGATATCACTTTTAACTATGATTTCTTTTCCGTCTAACTAGGAATTGAAATCGAAGGGGAGGGGGGAGGGGTGTTGGTGAAAATCTCAACTTTGCCACACCTTTACTTCATTTCTGAACCCGATCGATTCCGTTTGGTTTTTGCAACTCTATTTTCTCAAGTAAACAAGAAAAAGAAGAAAGGTAGTTTAATTTTGTTTTCATTTACAACACTTAGCGTTAATTCGGTTTCAGTAAAACTGATTTCTTACCGATTTATTTTGCAAGCTTATATTAGTGCAGTGAGGGGCTGAACCATTATCATAAATTTAACGACAAATAATCRCTCGTTCTACTTCCAGAAATGTCTATTTATTCATACTCTATCGTTTTCCACTTTTCATGACGTATTTTATAACAATTAAATATATATTCCTTCGATGGTCGAGGCTCGGACTATTTTTCAGATTCTTTTCATTTGGAGTGTTGTTATGAATCGAACGTACAGTGTTCCAAACACTAGCTTTTACTACACCGACAATCAAACCATCATTCCGAAGCAAGCTACTATCTGCTTGCCTATATAAAGTCAAAAGCTAGCCGCTAAAACGGAAGTAAAAACGGTTAGAGCCGTCGGCAATCCTACTATACTTATATATTCCTTCTTTCATGAGTTTGTTTTATTTGTGTTTATGTTAGACACTGGGGCTCCATTCAGCTTGTGTAATTTCCTAAAGGCTTTCTCTTGTGTAAGCTTACTTCTATCAACCAGTTAGTTTAGAACGGACATGTATTTTGATAAGAGGCGCTGTTCAATCATACCAGAGATTTCTATCGCTAATAGTAGCAAGCGCATGACCGTCTTGATTGCTTTTCCTGACCAACATCCACAGTCATGTATTTTCAATGTCAATATTTTGCGCGCTGCACGTCAATTTTCTCAAGGTTCATGATAACCTTTGCCAACCTGATTGAAGCCATTAAATTATCTTAATTCTGTTTTATCCTTGCATATGGAAAACACATTTATGATCAGATAATTTAAGGTATTATAGCTTTCTTTCCAAATATGTGAAAGTTTTATYAAGGTACCGAGAAATATTCTATAAGATGATACTGAAAGATGTTCCCATCTTCTGCTCTTAAGCTTGGCATTAAGTCAACAAAGAGTAATTCTTTAATCACAAAGGTAATCACAAGCCAGCGTTACAATGCTACATTAAATTACTAAGAACACTTAGTGTATTTTTGCTAAAAAACGAGCTTTTATATATCACACTATTATGCAAAAGTTCAAGGTCTTCAAAACTCGCAGGGCATATATTTTCGCACGCATGGTGCGAAGTTTTCAAAAATCGAAATTCTGTATACATTCCGTTGATCCGCGCGCGCATACAGAAAGATGAAAATCTCATGTCGGAAGTCTTTCGGTCATCTAGTGGTTGAGAATAGCTTTCATCGGCCTTAATTACAATTTCATCAAGTTATCAAACAAAGCATTCAAAAAGTGGTTGAGCTCTCGTTAATCAAAGATGAGACATTATCCGGCGTTTCGTTATCTTTTCAGTGTAGAGCCATTTGGCTGTGAGATGTACCCAGGCAACGAGAAAAACCTTTGACCACAATTCAATATCTATCTTGGTTGATAGAGAACGAATAAAACATTCACGACAAAGAATTTGTACGATTTTATGATAGATCTGATAAACTCTGGAAACTTTGTACATTAATTTGTACGCAAAGTTAATGAAATTTGGTTGTTGGCAGCGTGAAGTGCCCCCAACTGATAACAAACACTAATCTTGCTTGCCACGAAGAACAGATAACGATTTCATCAAAGCTGGATCAAAATACAGGATCTACTGTTAGGAATATCAAGTACTCTTTAGAGTAGTCAAAGCAATATCTGTGTTACCATCTTGACTTGAACTCCAAACTTTTCGGTGAACACCATCATTGGTAGGTCTTTTAGAATGGAGGTACTTAAAGATGTCACTCTGAAGTGACTTTGAAAGCCTTGCAGTATGGAGGCATGCGTGATGATATTATATACAAAAAAAATCGCAGCTAAATAATACAAAGCCTATAGACCTAGAAGAAGTTCCTCTGCTGTCTTTTAATTTTAAAAAAAATCTTTTTTTATTTCTACGATTAACAAAAGATAAATACTCGATTCTGAATTTCTCCCCTAAATTGAATATTAAGCAAAGCAGACTGATCACCGAAAGCACGTGYGATCACGGAACCAATCAAAACCAGTGAAGTTATCATATGACCCAATCATAGTAAGAGATGTCTCTAGTAGATCATTCCTGAGAACTTAATTCGTTTATCGTAAAGATTCGTATCATACGACATAGGAAAACCCGAAAGATATCATAGGCTCTTCCACTAGCATCACGGAATCCTCATCAGTTGGTAGCAGCTATCCTAGAGGTATTTAAAACAATGGTTTGTCTAAGCCTATTATGTCGGTGTTTAAATAGTCCTAATCAAGTACTTCTAGCCCACAACAGTTTCCGAAATTTTGTTATTGTTTACTGTTAATTGAAGTCGAGGATTGTTGATAGTGTGGAGCTGAAAATCCCTTGGGAACGGCGGAGACTAAAGTAAGATGTCACTAGATACTTGCGCAAATATAATATAATGCCATGAATTTAGTAAAGGGATGACCTTGTAGTTTGACACCAACGTGCTGACGGAGACATTGAAGCAAGAGTTTTCCTGGAACGTAACATTTTCTCTTTGTTTTCTTTTTGTGTAGGCCATTTTGAGGCTGTCGAAGCGCTTGGGAGATGGCAATAGCGATGAAATCCTACTCTTTAGTGTTCATTTGTATCTGTATTACCTGGGAGAAGCATTGTCAAGGAGAGTCAAAATCGTCTGCAGTCATCGTTTCTACAAAATATGGGCTGCTTAAGGGACAAACTAGGTATTTTCCTCAGCCTGTAGGAAACATATCTGTCGTTAATAAGTTTCTAGGTGTACCGTACGCTGCTCCTCCAATTGGGGAGCTGAGATTTCTTCCTCCGCAAAAACCYAAACATTGGAAAGGAGTCTACGATGCCACTCGGTTCAAACCAGTCTGCTATCAGGATCCATCTTATAATCAAATGTTTTGGAAAAAAGATGTCAATTGGTCACAGAGCGACGATTGTTTGTATCTAAACGTCTATGCGCCCAGTACTACCTTATCGCATGCACGCTATCCCGTGATGGTCTACATCCACGGAGGTGGTTATGAGGCAGGATCTCCAGTGGTCAGCCCTGGTGATGCTCTACCCATGTGGGAAGTCGTACTGGTGACAATTCAATATCGCCTTGGGCCTTTTGGCTTCATTAGCACTGGTGACTCCGCCGCACCTGGAAATTACGGGATGCTGGATCAGATCGAGGCTTTAAAATGGATTCAGCTCACTATCGAAGCGTTCAAAGGCGATCCGTCGAGAGTGACAATATTCGGTGAGAGTGCGGGTGGCTCCAGTGTTGGTCTTCTACTTCTGTCACCTCTCAGTACAGGACTTTTCCACAGAGCTATCGCTCTTAGTGGGAACGACTTCTCTCCTTTTGCGGTYAACGGGCGGGAAGAAGCAGTTGGTTTGACACAAGGAATAGCTGAGCGCATTAAGTGTCCAATTGGAGACAATGCTAAGATGATTAGCTGTATGCGTCGAGCTGACGCTAATTCAATTTGGTTGTCGCATGATGCAAACAAATGGCGTCCCGTAGTCGATGGAATTTTCTTGGAAGACACCCCTCAGAATATTAGAAAGGCCAACAAATCTCACCCCTATCCTCTAATCGTAGGGTTAACAAGCAATGAGGGGGCATATTTTTTGGCAGAAAGGGTTTACAATAATATAGACTCCACAACGTTCCGTTCATATTTAATGGCCTTTTTTGGAGACATCAGTAGATATTCCCGAAAGTGGCGACCATTTGACGTTTCTGAGAGCTTGAAAGACGCAATAGTTTTTCAATACACCCCTTGGCCTGAYACAAAAAATATAACTCGACTAAGACGAGGGTTAATTGATATGATAACCGATTATAGTATTGCAGCACCTGCACACGCGGTTTTGGACCTGCACACCAATGCTGCACCAGGTTAYCTCTTCGTCTTCAGCCATMGGTCCAARCTCACCAATCTACCATCTTGGAAAGGAGCGACGCATAAAGACGACACACCCTACGAGTTTGGTTTTCCTTTTATGAATCTCACTGTTCTCCAACATTACGACGAACATGATAAAAATGTCAGCTCCATCATGATCACTCTGTTCACGAATTTCGCACGCACTGGAAATCCTACTCCACAGCCTGTAGCAGGCTGCACATGGACACCATTCAACGAAAACAACAATCCGTATTTGAACATCACAGCAAAGCCTGAAATGCGAAATAATTTTCACATTAGAAACATTGCATTCTGGAACAAGTATTACCCAAAGGTTCTTAACTTTACATCTTGTAAGAAAACGAACGTACGAGCATCGACGTCGGGCAACAGTAGAAGCTATAGACTTGATTTTCAACACTTGTTGACTTTAATGATAATTTCATTCATCGTAGGAATGCAGTACTTATAGCGTCGCAGTCTTCAATGTATCATGAAATATGTTCACCGAAGGCGAGAGGCACACTATGACGCGGATCGCGCGTCAACAGAGAGTTTTGATGAAGGGAAATTCTGCGTGAGTTACACGTTATCCTTGACGTGCTTCATGGAAGGATTTGCTCACATCTTGCCGACAGTGCCGTGAAAGGGCTTGATGAACAGGTAACTGTGTGGCAGTATGTGTTATAAACCGATATAGCGTCTCGTATGCTGATGAATTCGCTACACGAAATTGTACGTTTCATCTTGCGGAACTTACCATGAAAGAGTTCAACGAACAGACTACTTTTACAGGTACTTTTGCGCGCGCTATATTTTCTAGGCCGTTCAATGATTTTAGCTGTTCTTCAATCAAATCCATTCTCAAAAATGCGTGCAGATATCGATTCCAATATATCGAGTAACTTGGCAGGTACAAAGTCAAAATGTATATCATGATGGCAAAATTAGTTTATTTGAACTTGGACCATTTCTGATCGAGAAAAAAGTATAGCAATATACTTTATTTTCATTAAATACCTTGGCATCTGCTTCTTGTGATATCATGGAGTTAAAATACACACTCGCGCAACCTTGAATCTTAAAGTGCCTATCACCCTTCTGACAATATTTACAGTATTGATTCTACATGGGGTAAGATGTCGAATAACCTGAAAAAATTTCATAGTTTGAGTGCAGCTTCTTGAAGTTATGAAGGTTTTTCCATGCCATATGCTAATGTGGTGACGTATGACCGAGGAGGCATTTATGGTTATTTGTTGTTCCTTGTAATTCGAAACACCGGCTTCTATGTGAAAAATAGCTTGCAATAATTTCTATAAGATTAATGGGCAAAACAATGACGTATTTCAAATTTAATTTATCTGTGCCAGTAAGGTTTTGTATATTAAATGGTTACTCCTCGTACGTCACAACATTAGCATATGGCATGGAAAAACCTTTATAACTTCAAGAAGCCGCACTCAAACTATGAAATTTTTTCGGGCTTTTCCACATCTTACCCCATGTAGAATCAATACTGTGAATATTGTCAGAAGGGTGATAGGCACTTTAATCAGAAATGAATATGACCTACTTGTGCTATACGTACAGAAAAGAATAGGAAAAAAATTGTATATGATAATTTTTTAAAAATTTTTTAAATTATAATTTCATAATCTTTATTCAGTCGATTTCAAGGGCTGTGAAAAATACGACCAAATTCTTTCCCGCGCGCGTGGTTRACCCAAGCCTTAGTTTTCATGTTATCAAATTGTAAAAAAACTAGTAAAAATATTTTAACAGTTTTGATATATACTTACGTGCGTTTTCTCCCAGGGACAAGGTTAAAGCAATTTGGTCAACTTGAAATGCTCGTTTCAGGGGCGGATCCAGGACTTGGACTCATGGAGGGGTGCTGCGCACAAAGTTAACCCAGGAAGGGGTGCACCTCTTAGAATCAAAAGGAAAAAACAGTAAAGGTTATCTTCAAAGTAGGGGCACAAAGTCGAAGCAGGGAGGGGTGCCCACCCCCTGCACCCCTCCCCTGGATCCGCCCCTGCGTTTCTGGGTGTTGGTAGTTATTTTGTATTCACAATAAGCTGCAGATAATTTATTTAATACTGCAATTTGATTTTTATTGATTTTGATATATTTGAGTACAAAATATCGGGTATTACTTGCAGGGTAGCCACACCCGTCATGTCTAAATCTGGTCCAGTAAGATGATAATTGCTTTAACCTCATCCCCATTTATACTTCATTAATCATTAAGTATTCTAACATTTACATACTCTAGAATAAGTACACATATCTCATGGTATATACACATATATATATTATAAAATTATCTCTATATATTTAATCATATTAATAGATATTAATTAGCAATATGGGTTAGAAATAGATCTTTTTCTCAAGGTTGCGCGCTCATATAAATTTAAGAAACTTGACGGGCCACGATACCAGGACAGGGGCAGTATAATAAGAATTATCATACATTGCTATGAGATTTAAAGAATCGATTATTAACTGGCTTCTCAGTTTTACTGAATTTGCGTTTTTCAGTTTTATGGCCCGTCAAGATTGGATGCGCACGCAACCTTGAGAAAACGGTCTATTGAAAGGTGGGGRAAAATTATTGGGTACCCGTAGTCAGTGGAGATCATTATAAAAATAGTGTACATTAATATTATTGCCATTGTAGTAATATTAGGATTTTTGTTCGTTTAGTATTAGTAATAATATATCTCATTTCCTTGGGCGTACTGTTTTCTAATTCCGATTTTAGACCACTTCTTGAACATTTTCTTGAGAATAAGTTTGTTTGAGTTGTACATACTCATGTGTGTTTTTATGTGCAATCATTAAACAAAGAAACAATACTCTAGGGAATGACATGTGGTCTGAAATGGGAAAACATTACGCCCAAGGTAAAGAGGTCTATAGCTTTTAGTTATTTAACAAACCCAACAAACATGAATCACGAGAAGACTTACCCTCATCTCATAAAGCTCGTGCAGGAATGAGCCCTGCTGATTCCCAATCTGGGGGTTGGAATAAAAGAATAGACCGTTCTCTGCTCTGACGCGATGTTTTCCCATTTCAGACCACGTGTCATTCCCTAGAGTATCATTTCTAGGTTTGCGCTCGGTTGCTCATGAGAAGAATATGGATACAACTCAAACAAAGAATATTATTCTCAATGGAATGACATGTGGTCTGAAATGGGACAACATTACGCTCGAGCGCTCCAGAGCCGAGGAGGTCTATTGACGCACCCTTGCTCGGTCTTTTGCTCATCTTTATGTGAATATGGTGCATATTGTCTATAGTCTCCCCGAAAAAGAAGGCTTGTGAATCATGCAGTAGAAAATATCAAGAAGCTAAAAATAAAACGTTAATTTTAAATACTTCATATGGTGTTGTATACATTTTTGTTTTTAGTATACGGTCTTATATGATGCACTGATTGATCCCGTAATTCAGGTTAACAGCTTAAGGCTATGCCCTGTTTACATCGGCTGTATTTCTCTAGCTGTTAGCTGGACTAGCTGAAAGCCGGTGATGCACACTTGTGTCCTTCTCTCTATCACTGCTCCGTGTTTCAGTTGCGTATTGGATCTATGGTGCATGGCAAGGAGTATATGTTCCTGTTGTCTATAGTTAGCCACCAAAGTTAAGCCCGAAGATCGAGAGTACAACGGTGTTTCTCTAGCTTCCTTGCAGGTGCACTTTGCGCACACTTGCTTCTATGAGTCTGCTCCCCTCTCTATGCGCAGATGCACTTGCCACGCGTCACGCTTTATACGGTACCGGCCTGTGCCACCCAGATTCACACACTTATCAAAAAGAGTTAGTGTTCTCAACTTGGTTGACCACCCACACAGTCAAATCCTTTTGGTTTTAGCCATTTCCGGCGTAATTTACTTACAAATTCATTAAATATCAATCACTATCGACCACTGATTGACTCAAGCGGTCGACACAGGAAGCCCAAGTGAGACGTCCTTTCCTCTGTTTCGGCCCTATCTTACTTGAATGCCTCATACTACAAAACCTCATTTTTTCCGTTTCCAGCATCGAGCATATCAGCAGGTCTTTGACAGGGAATCAATAAATTCGGGTCCCAATTTCAGGACCATCCTTTTAACTCGTTCCCGAACGTGAAAAGAAAAAGAAAAAAAAAGCGTGAAAAACCAAGGATTTATTAAGAGCTGGACATATATTATTTAGTATTATAATTTTTTTATTTGCCGGCTTAAATCAATCAAATAAAGTACGGAACAAGCCGACCGCTAATGGCGACCGTTCGGTCCTTACTGACTGGGACCATAAGGGCCTATATTCAGGTAGTCCCATTAGGTAGGTTCATCATCCCGTAGTTCAAAGAAGCACAAGAGAGAAGACGAAGTGACGATTGAAGAAGATAATCAAAGTGTTGATGGAAATCCTGTTTTAAATATACCAAATGTATCCTCCAAAGCACTCCAAAGTACAGTCCTGTGCTTACTACTGCAATAAGAACAGCCTTGTGGCTCTAAATACCTTATATATCGTAAGTTTTCTTTCAATATAATTTTTTTCTTTATCTACAAAGTTGGAGTGTTATCCGATACTTCAATAATACAAAGCCTTTGGAGGTCAGAAAAAAGGTTTCCCGTTGGCTTTAATAATTGGCTTTATTAGTTAATATCCAACTACGATAAACATATTAGTTTACAAGACATCTAATCTTCTGACTTCGATTTTTCAAAGTTTTTTTAAGCGTGATTTGAAGCCACAGTTTAAGAGCATTTCTGATACTGTAACTGCTCTTTTGTTAGTTGAACTTTATAAAAACATGTTAAAAGCTTTTTTTCAGACTAACTCCTAAGGATATTTTTTATTTAGTTCAAGTAAGCTTTAGTATTCATCGAGTCCTCGATCGATAGAAATATTCATTCATGTTTTAACGCGAGAGATAAAAATCGATGTTAAAGCCACGTTAGACGCATAAATAATTTTATAATGAGATGAAATCTCAACTTAATCTGCTCGTAAATTATATAAAAATATTTCAAAAAAATGTCTTTGAATGCCAAGATGTCGATCTTTTAAGGAGGTAGGTTATTTTAAACTTTTATTTCGTGTTTGGGATATAAATTTCATATTGATTTAGGAGGCTTTATGAATATTTATTTCAATGTGATTAGCATAATGTATAACTTATTTAAAATGGGTTGTAAATGATCAATGTCTTGGAAGAATGTTAACTATAGATTGCCGATAAGGTACGGAAAATGTCATTACATTTGGATATAATACATTTCAAGCTTGGTAAAGAACACCTAGAATCCAACAAAATATACCTTCGCCAACCTTTTCGAAGTAGCTGTAAATTAAATATTGTATTTTTCTCATATTGTAGTTTTTATCATTAATCCTGATTGGAGTAGCTATCTATGCCAGAGCTACAGCTGTTGTTACAAACCTGCCGATCCTTGGAGGAGTGATAGCATGTGGGGTATTTCTTCTATTATTGTCGATCTTTGGGATGGTCGGTGCTGTCAGACACAGCCAGGTTATATTATTCTTTGTATCCTTTGAAAATGATTATTATATTTTGGGGATAGACCCCTTGCAGCACGTCAAAATGCAGCTCAATTTGGAGGGCATAACAATATAGGTTTTAATTCTCAAGGGGTCTATATATAACATGTGTGCATGACTCTATACTGTGATATATAAACATGCTGGGAGCTGTAGAGCAAGAGAGACAAGCTAAGGAACATGAGGAGTAGCCAAACATGGTAGCCAATAAGTGTGTGTGTTATATCTCAAGTACTTTATCCAGCCAATCATCTTGCACATTATATATAAATATTTTATAAATTGCAATATGAGGAATATGATTGGAAAATGCAGAAGACTAGTATGAGTAACTTACACTAAAAATAGGGAACCGAGACTTCAAAATTTGTAGTGCATATTTGCAAAAGCCTCTCCCCTCTGGGGTACCAGGTTGGGTTCCTGGACCTGGCATCACACGTGTGTAGAATTGGCAAATTCAAATATTGTAATTGACAGTGTTTAAATAGAGTGTCCCGCTCCCCCTTCCCCCTCTGGATTCCAATTTGAATTTAGGAGTTGATTTTTGTACAGAGAGGAAAATTTGTCAACCCTTGAGAGAAGCCCTCGAATTCAGTTGACTATCAAAATGTCAATTTTAAGGGGCTGCCTTTTAACAAGAAACAGTAATGATAAATTATTTATTTTCTTTGACTTGTGATAAAGTATATGGTCATTCTTGTTCTTCTCTTCATAATTCAAATGGCTGTTTCCATAGGGGCATTAGCAGTAACACATGACCAGCAAGAAAAGCTAATGGAAGCTGGATGGAAAAAACTTCCCAGTGAAATTAAAGGCAAAATTCAAACACAAAAAGACTGCTGTGGATTTAAGAATATTACTGACATTCAATCTTGTCAAAAGGTATTGTAGGAATTCAATAATTTCTCACTGGTGATTTTGACAAGAATTGGGAACAGGGAAGGGAGACCCAGATCCAGAATAAAGGGTTGCAGACAAGGTGACTAGTTCAGGGGCAGATCTGACAGGGGTGGTGAAGGGGTTGTCTAGCCACCCCCTTTTCTCAAATTTCTCAGTACGTGACTATCTTTAGTAAGCCACCACATTTTCCTCACATTGTGTAGTTACAAAAATTTTCCATACCTCCCTCATGGAGGAATTTTTTAAAGACACCCCCTAGCCCCAGAAATTCCAATTTTCTTCCATACACACTCTGTAATTTTTGTAGAGTGTGGTGTGGATGATTTCTGGAACTACACACTCCTAATAAAACTTTTGTAATAACAACCCCCCCTCCCCTCTTCTAAAATTAATGGATCTGCCACAGACTGTGGTTTTCATAAAGAGGAGTGTTTCAGGGGTTGGGATGCAAATAGGTAAACATTCTGGGTAATTTTTACCCTAAGCTGAGAAACGCTCCTTTATGTGTCATGCTTCCCTCCTACACTTCTCTCATGTTATGCCAATTCCTGCATGGTTCATAACTACAAGCAACATGAAGTGCAGACATGCTTTCTATTTCAAAAACCAATTCAGTGAACTTTTTTACCAAAAAAATTGAAAAAATTTAACTACAAAGACGGGTAAAATTTGAAAGAAAAATGAGGTTTCGAGTGCGCACATGATTTGCTGACATAATTCATCAGTATGTTCTCCTATATCCCCCGGCTTTAGACCAATCAGAAAGCGAGAAAATTCACATTCATGGTAAAAACTGGTATTTATTCAATTCCAGGTTAAATGTTGTAAAAATAAGCTAGAGAAATGTAATGAATGTCAAACATGTTACACAAAATTAGAAGTGGTCATAGATCATCTTCTGAAGCTGGCAGGTGGAGTTGGACTCTTCTTTAGTTTTACACTGGTGAGTAAACAAAAACTATCGACTTGCTATAAGGTGCCATAAGAATAGACCTTTTAAGCGTCATGGACGTAACAATATAACAGGAGCCTCATTTTTTTCTGAATAAACAAACCATGTTACCTGCTTGGGCATAATGTTTTGCTGTTTCATGATTACCTCGTACTATTCTCTTGAGAAAATGATACAATGTTGAGTTGTATCCATATTCAAGTCTCCTTATGCACAACTGTTAAAAAAAGAAATGATACTCTAGGGAATGACACGTGGCCTTGAGAAGATTCTTTGTTGGAGTTGTATCCATATGCATGTGTCTTCTCATGCACAACCATTAAATAAAGAAATGATACTGCAGGAACAACATGTGGCRTAAAAAAAAAAGTTAAAGACCCATTAGCTAAAAAAGTATATGTAATAAACTGAAACTGACAGAGAGAATCTGGCATAAATAAATGAAAATACTTTTCAACAGTAAAATACTTTTAAAAAAATTGTTCCATAAATCAAATTTATAAATACTGTAATATATGGTGCTGGAGTATACTAAAAATAGTTTGAAATATGTTATTAATAATTATAGCTAAATCAAATAAAAATATATAAGTATGACATGTGTGAAATTAGACAATCTTGTGCCAATTGAGATTATAGTGTAATATGGTGCTGGAGTATGATATAGTTTGATTTTAAATATCTTACATATAATAATTTTTGTTAAATCAAATTTACAAACATTACATTAAAGAAGAAAAGTGAGTTCCAAGATAGTATTATACATGTATAGTGCTGGAATATTCACTCATTGGTTCTGTCATTCAGCAGTAGCTAAGTCTCGACATCATCATGACTGTGTGATACGCCTTGAGTTTTCACACTCAAGCGATGCTGTCACAGTGCATTGCACCTTCAGTTTGTTTAGAATGTAAGCAAGAATAAGACAAAACTTGATAAAACTGATTTAACTTACTTTTCTAAAAGTGTTTTATGATTACTCAAAAAAAACCCTAAGCACGTCACAAGTTCTTAGAGCATTTTTCATAAACCTATCAAACTTTAAAGCTTGGCTCTCACTAATATTGCTTGGTAATTCCCAATAATTGTTAGATTCTAGATGTTTCCCTCAGGGTTCTCCAGTTTCAGTTTTCTCCCTTCATATGTAAAACCTAACAAACTAAATTCCACTTTCATCTGTGAGTTAACTGTGCCCTGACTTTGATCAGCTTAAAGGCTGATTCAGGGTTTGATAAATTTTAAGATTTTAAAAATGGCTTAAAATGGCTCAAGTGAATCCGCACAAGCCCCCCCTCGCCCCCCCAGGTTCTATCAATGGTCTCATTATTCAAATATTGAAATTTATTATTCTTTCCGATAATACTAAATTAAGACTCGGGATTCAAAATAATAACTGATTCAAAACTAGAATTCCGATAGGATTATGGTGTTCCTTACATGGAATAATCCAATCAGAATTCGTTGTTATTTCTATTTCTGAGCGGTCATCGTATTCTAGGAACGAATAATAAATTTCAATATCGGAATAATGAAATCATTAATGGAACCTAGAGGGTTAAGCTTGAGCCATTTTGACTGAAATGAAGGATAAAAATATATTACATTTGTGTTTTAAATGTGCTATAAATGATCTTTAAATTCTCTTAAACTTTAAATCTTTAAGACGTTCTTTTGTTAAAACCTAACACTTTTAATAATTCAAAATCTTTGTTAAATGTAAAATCAAATCTGCATGTCAACTGCAAATCTGTGTTTTCTTCTAACTCTTTCATTTTTGTTTCTCACTATTGGTTTCTCTTTATCTGCAGTTATTTGGTGTGTACTTGACTTGTCGTTACAGGAATCTGAAGGATCCAAGAGTTAATCCAAGCCATTTTCTATAAATAATATAATTATCTACTCCATTAATAACTTGCCTCAAAATAATGACACTCCCTTTTGTCACTAAATAGGTTACTGCAATTTGCAATGTTAGATCATAACTATGAACTCTTCTGTTTCAAACTGCTATCAGTTACTGCAATTCTCAATATTCTGTGAACTCAGACATTTTAACGGCTTGTTGTGAAATTGGTTTTTCACTGCCGTCAATTAAAATCTTAGTCTGTTAACTTGGTCAAAAGTGGTAGAAAGTGAGGCAGCACAAAGGGAGAAGAACATTACCCTCCTCAGGTGCCCATCAAGCTTGCCCTTACTCTTCGTGCGACAAATAGGCAGGGGGAAAACTCGACTCAACTGAGTTAGGAGCAAAAAGAGGGACTATTAACAGTCTAAATTAATCAAAAGTAACCAGTCTGCACCTTTAGTATTTTTGACTGACAGCAGTGAAAAACGAAATTCCTTCACGCACCTCGCAACTATCAAGTATGCAGAATATTGAGAATCAGGTAGAATATTGGGAATCATAATGAGTGTTGCTCAAAGCTGCCATTTAGAAAGACTATATTGAAAAAGAAGAGTAAATTAAAACCCCAAAAGGCTTGTAAGAGTAATTTCAAAAACTTTCTCTTGTTCATTTCTGCTTTAATTTAGTTTTATAATCTTGTTTATTTAATATTCTTTATTTAATGTTTCCAATGTTATTTCTTTTGTTTGATTTTTTATAACCAGTCAAAAAAGAACTTAATATTTGTAATGCACACCGTAGGCCCCGTCTCTCCACACTATCTAACCCTGTATTGGAGGGACGTAAAAGAACCACTGAGGACGTAATAAAACCCTGGCAGTGACCACCCTCAGTGTCTGGCCTTTACTAATGATATCTTAACGGGTTGATTTGTATTAGAACACTAACTTTGATCCTGAATACCCGAGCACTTAAGCCTCGAAGAGAGGGCATGCTTGTAATTTGGTAAATGTAAATGATAATGAAAGGAGATAAGTTTGGCATTTTCGAAACCAGTGACTTGTAGAATTCTGCTTTAATTTACCCTTATAATCTTTAATAATCTTTATCTAATGCTTCCAATGTTATTCGTTTTGTTTATGATCCTTTATAACCAGTCAAAAAAGAAGATACAAAATTGAAAGAGTAGAGTGAAGTCTCAAAATTACAGAATTGGCTGAGCTTGTGAAGCAGCTGATATTATTAATTATTATTTACCAGCTTCAAAAACCTTATATTTGATCACTTTATAGCGTATTTTGTACTCAATATCTATAGTACTTGTTAAAATTTTGAACAAGTACTATTTTCTAGAAGTGTAATTTTATAATGTAATAAGTTAAAAAAGATGTTACTATGATTATTACTGCTATATCAATCATGTGATTTAGATATCAATGCTTTGTCTCTTTGAAATATAATAGCTGTTTATTACAATTGAGCCTGCAGTCAAATGTTCTTTTGTTTGGAGTCATGTTATAAGTGAGGCTAAAACTGACTCATTTGCTTCCTTTGCCGCATGTGAGAGGGAGCAAAAACCTTGCACCCTCTACCCTTTCTATTCAAGGATTTTGTTCCAACATACACAAACCTGAACTCCTACACCAATTCCCAGTTTATCTTTTTTTTCATTTCAGACGTATGCAAATTCCTTCCATTCCAATGAAAAAAAAAAAAATAAATAATTAAAAAAAAAAAAAAAAAAAAAAAGACGTGGCTTTCATGTTGGTTGACAATAGTCTGCTACACAGCCGGTACCGGTGAGGATCCCTCTTAGAGTTCAAGTTGAAAGCCAACAAATAGTTTGTCTTTTAATTCAGGGGGTTATTCTTGTTTTTGTCTCGTCCAACTAGAGATCGACTGAGGATCACTTACAGGGTCCATATGTTACCGTCAAACTCCGTTTTTACAAATTGAGAATGTTTGAGAGACGATGATTTGCATTGTTGATACTGATAGGTTTAAGTGGCGCAAGTTTAAAAAAATTTATCGGGTGTAAACATGGATGTACCTTCAGGGGTTTCGTCGATCGGCTTTTCAGAAATCCAAACTAAATTGCAAATTAAGTCACGCCTATTGATCTCTGCGCTTGCTGAAGTAGAGAAAAAGGAGAATCAAGTGTCTTAGAGCAATTGTAATAGAGCTATAGCACGAACCTTTGCATTTTTTCATTTTATTTTGCCAGTAAAGTTATGGAACGGTACGACATTTGAACCAACAGCGGGCGCCATTAATATAATGCTTATTTATCAAAGGATACAACTATGTCACTACTCAACATTACGGCACAGCACATTATTATTAACTATTAGTAACCAACTAGTGATATTTAGTCGATTGATCAGACATAACTGAAATGGTGCAACGCAGTTGCGCATGTTATGTAGCAACTTTTTGCCAGTACTAGCTTGTTGCGGCGCGCAACGTTGCAGAGTTAGCTTTTGATTGCAGATCAGGTTGTGCGCAAATGTTTCAGGGTTCACACGACGGGGCTTGCATGCACAACGTTGCAGAGTTAGTTTAGATTATACTTATGCAGGTTAACTGATTGTGCGCAACTGTTAAATCCAGGAATGGCACGGGGCGCAATTTCGTGCTCAGCATGCGTGTGCAACGTTGCAGAATTACTGATTTCGATCATACTTTTATGCAATATTGCGCAAAATGTTCCAGGGCGCTGTGTTCTGACCTTTCTTCACACTTTTAGTGTTTGTTTGCTTTTAACACCATGCTTGCTCGTATTTTACACTTTTTAAAATTCTTTTACAGCTAGCTGGGTTCTTCCTGACGAGAAAACTCAGAAATCGCAAAAGACATGTAATCTAGACGAAGAGCTAGGGAGGTTGTCCGCGGCGTGAACAGGAAGTTGCATTGGTATCCGACAGTCTGGCTTTCTTAGAATTCAAGTTATATATATTAAGCTAGTTGTGCAGTTCGCGCTGCTTGTAAAACTGAAAAGTTACAAAGTATAGAAATGATTATAACCTAAGATTATTATAAATATTTAGTCCGTTAAGAAACCACAGAACAGGCTCCCAGGATCTTGTCTGTTCTTGTTGCGAGTTCACTCAGTATGTAACTTTTCTTTTGTTTCCTTCTTGTTTTGTTTTTAAGTAGATAATTTTTTGGATCAAACTAGTCGAGAAAAAAAATGTTCCTAGGCTGACTGTGATAAGCAAAATCTAAGACAAATTTAAATAAACAATTTCTTTTACTAGTTGTTAGACTAGTATCTCTGTTGCTAATTAAATGAATCATGAATGGGTACTAGACGTACTATGTAGAAATTGTTTTGTTTTTGCATTATTTATGAAAAGAAAACTAATCAAAAGTGTCTTACTTGAAATAAAAGGGACCCGATTTGATATTAAGGTGGTGCGTTACCTCTACCCCCTAGCCTCAGAGACCTGTTCAAATGCTCGATACTGGGGATCTGTAGTGACAATTTCTATACTCAAATATGTTTTTTAGCATACATGCAGACAGACCGTCCATTCATTACTGTGATTTCGGTTTTAGTTTTGGAGATATTTGGGGACAAAGTCTAAGATTTCACTTCCAGAGGTGGTGGGTACCGGGTAACACCACCCCTCCCCCCTAAATCGGGTCCCGTGAGATGACAACTGTTTTTCCCTCATCCATTACACAATAACAATGTGCCCACCTGTGATCAGACCACCCAATACAGCTGGTAGTCACGTGACTATTTCCGGGTACAGTGAATGACCGGTGACCTCGTAGTGCGTTTTAGTTATCCATGGGTTCGGCACCCCAGAAACGAATGTCAAACTTAATCTTCTTGGATGCCGGCTTTTTTGACACATTCCGGGTAAAGAGGAGGGGGAGGGGGGCTGTGTTAGCCTTTGGAATTAATTAGCAACGTACTCATAGGACTGGACTGCTTCCGACTCCAATCTTCACCGCCTACTACGCAAATAAGCACCTCTCGTAAAATAGTTCCAATGTTTCCCATGTCTTTCATATCTGCGCTACCCACTCGTTTATTTGAAATGGAGAGTCTTCAAATATGCTCCAATGAAAATCAAGACGGCAAAATCCGAGGTCTCTCCGAGGCATGCCTTATGTGGACAGCTCGTTATGTCTAAATGCGTCAATCAGATGTAAACTGCCTGTGTAGTGACAGATTAGTGCACAGTACCAGTTACTTGTCAGAAGATCAGCAAAATGGTGGGTAAACTTTTCTTAGGACATTTCTCTGTTAACTTGTTCAGACTCAGCAAAATTCAAAGTTGATATTTTTTGGTTTTATTTCAGTCGGCGATTTCAGATGATCAAATTGGAGGTAAAGTTTCACTGTTGCGATTAATGCGGGGCTGGTTGTAAAGCACAGAAATCTTCCAGCTTCCCAGGGCGTCGTTAGCTTTGTGTTCCATTGCAAGTTTTAGCTACTGATTGCCATTTGTTCTTTTGTGCTATTCTTTGCAGAATACAGGGAAGCATTTACTCTGTTTGATCGAAAAGGAGACAATAAGATCGACTACGACCAAATAGGAGATGTCCTAAGGTCTCTTGGTCTTAATCCCACTGCAGGCGAAGTAAAGAAGATTGAGAAAGATGTTGGTAAGTTTGTAAGTCGTTTTTCTATYGCTAATACCACATCTTTATTTGACTGATTCATGATAATTAAATTAGAAATATTACGGTAATACAGCACAAAAATGATAGTTCTTCTGACATGAAGGCTAGAATCAAACCACAGATGTTGATGTTACTAAAGTAATCCTGAATATTTCTTGCCAAAGAAACCTTGTTTTAGTCTTCCTGGAACTGTTATCGTTATTTCTATTGCTAACCCGCCTATTTTACAACAATTCTTTTGTTTTTATGGTATTTTTTATTGTGTTCTTGTTTAAAATAAGTCCCACCAGGACATAAATGATTCAGTTTCGTTGTGTTAACACAATAACACATGAACGTATCGTGACGTCGATCAACCCATTTCAACGCCCAGATGCAAACATAAATGCCGACCAAAACCGTAAATAAATACGTGCAATGAGCAATATTTTGTGTCCCATTAGGAAAATACAGTTTTTGAGGAGATTATACATTATTTAATCGAGCAGAAGTTGTACTTTTACCCATGTTTTAGTAAACAGACAAGCGTGTTTGTTGAAAAATCCATGAACCGATTCAAGGGTCGAGTTATTAATCGTATTATGAAAATTTCTTGATATAGTTTTTTTGTACGGATTCCAGTTTTCTGTAGTTAAGAAATTCTCTTAAAAAAAACTAAAGCACGAAAACTTGAAGTACGGAAATATCAATTTTACTTCTTAAAAAGCCACTTATTATAATTCACTAAAAAATTATCCCCACAAGCCCAGATGATCGTATGAATTATTCTAAATTCTGAATAATTTTCTCCATAAATTTATTGAATAAAATTATTCTGTTTGCGATAAAATAATTTCAAAATTGGTCCACTACCTCCGACCCCATTATCTTGTATGGAGCTTATTAAGTTAAATAGTTTTGATGTGATTTAGTGAATGAATTTAAATACTGACAAAAAAATATAAACTTACTAGTCTCATTAATTTCTATAGCCAGGCCCCCCTTTGCAAGACATTATTCTGTCTGTCTGTCTATCTATCTATCTATCTATCTATTTATCTATCTGTCTGTCTGTCTGTCCTTCTATCTGTCTGTCTGTCTGCACACACTTGCTCTACGTATTTACACACCCATCCCATGAAAATAAAATGTCAAATAAAATGCTTTCTGTTAATGACCAAATATATTCCATCCTCAAAAATGAAGTTCTAAATTCCAAAATAATCTTCGTTTGTCTGTCTGTCTTTCAGACCACCTACTTTTGTGTTATTTTAATCCACAAATTATAGCCAATGACATACACATTAACCCTATGACATAATCCACGTCACCTAAACCTCATGTCTAGGGTGTTCCTACTCTAGGTTAATGTGTAACCTATCAGAATTAAGATTCTTTGCATGTTTGAATTGCTTATCAAGCATTACTGGAAAACAAAAATAGTAATAGTGAAGGGAGTGCATAGCAGCAGCTATGCAGCAGCTCCCCCATTAGATTGGGGGACTTGGGATGGGCAGGGGGAGGGGAAGGAAAGGACTCTTTTGGGCCACTATTCAGGCTATGACTTGTCTGTGAGTGTAGGTGGGAAAACAAAGAAATAATACTAATGAAACCTGTTTGTGGTAGTCAGCTGGTTATAGTGGTGTATAGCTTTTTCAAGAATTAAATATATCGGTGAAGGGTTTGCTGTGCATTGCATGTTCGTTTTTCATATGTAAAAAATAATCCCAGAACACAGGAAAATATGCCGGGAAGACAATGTGTAGACAAAGTTAGGGAAAATTCCATATCATTGTGGCCTTTCACTGATTGTATTCACATTGACGATAGTGCATTGCAGGCTTGGTATGCAACATGTAACAAAACATTCATAAACCTTTTTTGGAAATATATAATATATAATTCAGTCACTGACAATCTGTTTAAATGTGCCCACATATAGTGATTTTCCCCAGACCATGAAATAGTGTTAATTTGTAGACTTAGTAGATCATATTTCTGTTGTTTTCTTTTGTATCTATTTGACCATTTTACACTAATATTAATAGAAACTGATTCACGGTGCAAGGAAAATCACTTTAGTTTGAGTATCTTTTTTTGATTGGTAGAAGCCAACAAATCAGACGTCTTTGACTATGTTGGTTATGTGAGTGCATATAATCACACTGGCATCATCTGCGGCATGCTGTTGGCCTCAAGTTTACATATAACATGTTTCCTTGAATATTTTTACACAGGTAAAAAGCGTGTAAGCTTTGAGGAGTTCCTTCCAATCTATCACTCAGCCTACCAAAAGAAAGCCAATCCCTCATTAGAAGAGTTTATTGAAGGCTTCAGAGTGTTTGACCGTGATGGCACAGGCACAGTACAGGCTGCTGAACTTAGAAATTTGCTGACAACACTTGGTAAGAGCACTATCAGTAAAATGAAGCTTGTAATAGACCGATCCCAAACTCACTTCAGTGACTGGTCATGAAGCAATGGTTTCAAATTAAGTTTGAACTTGATAAAATATAAAAGAATCAATTTCAGTCTTGACTTCAAACCATTGTTTYGTGGTCATCCAAGCAAATTGGGAATTGGGGAAAGGTCTATTAGATAATAATTTGCTTGGAATACAGTGAAACCCCTCTATACCGGACCCTCAGTACACCGGAATTCTCTCTAAACCGGACAAAAGTTTTGGTCCGGAAATTTTTCCCATATATCTTTTGTAAAATAAACCTCAGTAAACTGGAACCTCTCTATTCCGGAAACTGGACGATAATTTCGGTACCAAACGCTATTTGACAATAGAATTCAACCTCGCTAGTCCGGAAGAACTTACCTTTGTTTCGGAACTACCGTCACTAGCGTATTTGCGGGTGTATAAATTGAGTCTACAGGGACAACTTCTAAACTCACAAAATCATCGAAAATATTCTTTAAATAGTAAATCTTGTTCACAAATAGACATATAAAGACTAATTAATTGTTTTCAATATATAAATGCTCAAACAGAATGCATAACGAAGGTTTAATAGTGTTGAGAAATACTAAAGATCGAATGATTCGCGATCGTATTTAGAATGTTTCTTCTCGTTCTTTTGAAAAAAAGTAAAGAATTTGCTTAGTTTTTGATCTTGTTGATATTTTTACTTGAACTTTCGTTTTCATGTTTGTTTATACTGACGCCAAACGATTAGACACAAACATATTTTCAATAGGTGTGATATCGCACCTATTCAAATCGAAAACAAAAGTAATTTGCAAAAACCTCAGTATACCGGAATCCCCGCTAAACCGGAAATTTTTATCTGTCCCAGCACTGTCCGGTATAGAGGGGTTTTACTGTACATCAAAACACTTGGCCTTTTTTAAATTTTGGATTTCAATTAGCCTTTTCTTTGAATTACATTTAATCTGCTACACATGGTGATCAAACTCTGACAACCATGTGTTGTTACCCAGAAAAAATGCTATTTAAAAATTCAGATTCAGGTGATGAGCATCTCCTTATGAGACTGGAAATGATGTCTAGTGACTCTTAGTGAAATCAAGAAATTATCATCCAATGTATTAACTTAAAAACATATTTTTAGGAGAGAAACTCTCAGATGAGGATGTTAATGTCCTGTTTGCTACTGTTGATGATAATAGTGGATACATCAATTATGAAGGTAACAAGAATTGAACTAATTTAATAATATTGTATTATATACATATTAGTATTTACTGGGAATTATGCCACTTATTTTTCATACAAATTACATCTAGAACCTCAGTGACTTATTTTTTCCATTAATTTTTCCTAATTAGGCATTTAATCAGACAATGAATGATTCCCCACATCAGGATATAAATAAATGATTTACCTTTAATTATTTTTTTTGCAGATTTTGTGAAGGTAATAATATCAGCATAGACATTGGTGTGATGTCAAGAGGCAGAGCATTCTATAACCCTACATTTCTACGCTGTATAGATTACTAGAAATCACCTTTTGTTGAATATCTATAGCAAATTTTGATAAATTTGAGTCTTTCTATAATATATTATTACATCTATTCATAATGGCTTGTATTTTTCACTAGACTTTGTAGAATAATAAATAAAGTTTGAGAGCCTGATCTTTTCCCAAGATACAGTAGTTGTTTTGTATTTATAAAATAATTGGGATACTACGTGCACTATGATTGGTCGAAACCCATGTTTGATGAGAGTATCAAAAAACGCTACCCTCATTTTTAATCTATCACGCACGCTCATTGGTCAGTTTGATAAGACTGCACGTAGGGACAATTTACTTAGACTTTGCTTTTTTTCGATCTTTTCACATGTTTGTTATTTTATAAAACAAATCAAAAACATTTTTCTGTGTTTGATACTCTGATCAAAACACTTGGGATGTTGGGAGAACACTCGAGATCTGTTAATTCTAGTCCTATTTCTAGTTTCAAATGTGATGGAATTGGATTGGTAGCACCTTATGGCAAAGTGAAAACAAGAAAATGGAGTTGGAAATTTGACATTTCCTTTTTTTAATATTATTGGTTTGTGCTTAAATGGAGTTGGACTTCTGAGTCAAAATGTGCATCATAATCAGAAATTTTACTTTTGTTTGGCTTGTGCTTACACTTTCTATGAGCAGTTTTATAACTTGCAGTTTCACACAGGAACTGCTTTCCACTCAGATCCCATTAGAAAATGAAAACCTCTAAGCTTAAGGAAGAGTGAACAAGGTGTGAATTTTAGGTTACTATTACAGCAAAATTAGTAATCAAGGATGTACAGCTAAAGCTTTATAGAAAAACAAAAAATCAGCACAAATACAAATTGGTATTTTCCTACTAGCCTTGTATTGAGGACTATTTTGAAAGGGATCTATAGAATGATCAAGTAATCAGGTGTATCGATCTCTTCTCCTCCTGGATGGGATTCTAGTACATAACAGATCCTCCCCATCATAAACTCCCATTGTTTCATCCTATCCCTTTTACTCTTTCCCACTTCCCCCATCTAGGTCATACCCAGCCACAAATTATTAATCTATAACACTGTTGCAACAGACCTTTACATTTTGTTATTAATACTTTCTTGGGATTTTATTTCAAGACTGGGTACTTTCCCCTGTGAAGAATTACCATTCTGTTAATTACGAAAGTGTGTAGCGGACTTTGGGCTCCCTGTGCAGACCCACTCCCAGCAAGGGGTTTACTGGGAGATTTAGTTGTTCTTGATATGTTTTATGTACATCAAACATAAACTAAAGTTTATCGTTTACACAAAGTTGAGGTGAGTTTTAGTGGTGTCGACAAATGCATTGCAACTTGGATTTCTGTTTGTGTGTGCTCCTTCTTGAGACTGATTTTTTAAAATGACCCCTCTTAAATCCCACTTCTCCCCTTCCCCTCCCCTACTCCCAGTAAAAAAATGTAAGATCCCTTTAGCCATTCTCCAGGTTTTGCCTCTCCCCACTGAACTAACATGCTATTTTGCACTTCTATCTTATTAAGCCATGTCCTGACAGATAGCAGCCCAGAAATTGTTTTTGGAGACCAATACAATTTGAAGGTTTCATAGTACACTTTCACCATGTCTACTCTACTCTACCTACATACTAACAATCCTCCCTGATTCTCTAATGCTATCTTGATACAGCTGGTATGATATACTGGAGTGATAAATCATCATGGACAAGAAAAAACTGAATTGCTCTGCTGTCAATAATATCTAGAATAAAAGGAGAAACATTGCTAGGATAACTTTTAATTCTTGGAAGGTGGGGATGGGGATGTTTAATTGTAGACAATACAACCCTCAAATTGGTTTTGATCAAGTATTGTAGAGTGTATACCATCATGTGAAAGTGTTAACTAACAAAATTATTATACAAATTAAGAAAATGTCTTTTAGAGACCAGTCATTATTTAAGTCGGAGGGGGGGGGGGGTGGAGGAGAAAATGGGGGGCCCTCAATTTTTTTTAGTGGGACATGGGGGGCCTTGAAAGGTCAGAAGGAGGATTGGGAGGATTTTTTAAACGATTGAAAGGGGTACCCAAAAAACAGGAATGCTAGGGGTCTGGAAAATCTTTTTGCATCAAAAGCATTTTCTCCTCCTAATAAAATACTTACTGCATATGACTTTATTTGGACCAAACTGCTCGCCTTGAAGAAAAGTTGCCATCTTCTTTATTTCAATTCTAGCCTGTGCCATTTCTTCCTTGTCTTGGGTCTGTAAATTCTCTTCACCCTCTGCAACATCAAAAGTCCATGATGAATCATTAGTGAGTAGACTACATTTAAGAACAAAATTATAACAAGGTACCTCCCTACACCAATGGTATAGCAAGAGACCTTGACGTAACATTCACTGAAGGGACAATTTACTAGAAGTTGAAAAGAAATGCTATCCAGCTTGTTGTCAAAATAATACATATAAACTACCCCCGTGCAACAGCCCTGCCCTGCCCTGTCTTCCGCAATGTTGTCAAAGTTAGCTGGCTGGTATACTTTTCACTGGCTATTTCAAATGACGTGCTGGCATTAATCAAAAGAGATTCTTCTCCACTAGCATAGGGAGGGGTAAATGTGCCCCCAAAAAGTTTGCTTCCGGCACTAAAATGTAATTAAAACATGTGGAATTCCTGTGGATTTGGCAGGAAAATGGTACTTCCCCCCCCCCCCCCCCTAATTCACCCCCCACTACGCCCCTGTTCTTCCCCTTTCCTCAATTTCAAGCCCACTTTTTGACAAGTACTTTTGCTGTATCCAAATTAATACTAAAACTAAAATACTTATTTACCCCAAACAGGATTATCCAGATGTTTGAAATGTGTTGCTATGGTTACTAGATCTGTTTCTACTCCAAGGGTCATGGATCCTTTTACATTGGCAGCAATTGTCTACAATTACAATGACAAAAACCTAGTTTTAAATACCATTATCAAATAACTGTTATACATCTCTCATTCTGATTGGTTGGGAGTGCATGCTTTATGATTGCACACACCATGTGCACACATTTTTAATGACTTTATGATCAAAACTAACACATTACTGCATTAGAAAAGGATTGTGAGTTATGCCACTCTAGCTCTTGGTCCAAAATGAATGAATATATATGTATACTACATAGATTCATGAAGAAAGGAAAGATCGATGGATCAAGAATCGATAGATAGATAAATAGATGAAAAGAAGGTTGGTTAAGTAGAAGGATAGAAGACTGTCTGATTGATTGAACATGTGATTATTGTGAGACAAAACATCCACATCCTACCAATGAGCAGTGATGATGTTTTGTCCCACCCCTCCCCCCCCMAAAACTACCATTACTCTTACCATGTAATTACTGAGATTTTTCATTCTCTCAACCACATTCCTAACAGTCTTCATGGGTGGCATGTAGATACTAACCTGAAAAATGATGACAAGGTAAAAGATTTAAGACTTGAACATGTGGTACAACTATGGACCTCAATAATACTGTCAGTACAAAATTTATTCCCAGAAGAATAGAAAAATTTTTCAACACCATGTACCCTCATCCTCAAGAGCTTGAATGCGAGGCTATGTGGGGATTATCRTTATTGTCCCAGTCAACATGGTTGCCGCATGCATGAGAAAGCAGGTGGAGAAAGGTCGATTGCAAACAGCCAAAGAATGTAAATTGCATAACAGTTACTTCCTAAATTTGCAGCTTTGCAACTTTTGTGTGTACCATTGCTGAAGTAGAACCTTGATCTACGTTTTGTTAAGTGAACAAGACCTGCAATTTTGATGGCCATGGTTTGAAAAAATTTTTTTATCAACAATTTTGCTCTAAAAAATTGCACCATATAGTTATGTTTCTAGACTGATTCCGTAAGCTGTATTTTTCACTCCTTTATCCAGAATCGACAAAAGAGTGAAAGCACTGACTTATGGAATCACTCTAATTATGTTCCTGGATAAAGTGATGTAGTTATGCACTACTTAATATCTCACATCAAAGTCTGGCATATTTGGCTCTGAATACTCTTCCCAATTCCTTTGAGGAACAACACTGACTGGAACATCATGCACAACACTCCTAGTGTGTGTGGAAAGTGATGGCTGCAAAAAATAAAAAAGGGGAAAAAAAGGAAAAATTGTGTTGGTAGGTTGAATATTGGTAGGGGTTGGTGAGCTGACAGTATTGCTGGTGAATATAGGTTATAGTGCAACACGTATAAGTATGACCACATTTGTATTTGCATACTTCTATCCTTGGGCTTCTTGCTGTCAAATAAGCATTTACATGCCTTATTTGGTAAAACAAGCCAGCTTCGCATTGAAATGTGTTGGTTTAAAGTACATGAAAGCCTGTGCACAGAAGTATGCAAATACATAAAATGTGGTCAAATTTTTGCAATTAGGTATTGCGTTAGGTTTTGAACTATGGTACTGAGACCCACGTCCCTGTTCAGGGCTCTGGTACCCAGGGTAGAATCTGCATTATTGACCAGAGGATACCCTTGTCAACACAAGTGAAGCAAGTCTTGGGAAGCATCAAATAATAATAATGCATTATCCCTTCCTGTTTTGCATAAAAATGCATAATTTTTGCGACCCTAGAGAGTTTTGGTACATTAACAGTAGCATACAAGTGGGTTTTTTGTTTTTGTTTTTGTTTTAAAGATGACTGGTTAATGACTGTTATTTTATAAACATACCAGTGTGATCTCAAAGGTAAAACAAGGAGTATGTTTTTTGGTCAGTTTAATTTTTACTGCTTGGGCACTACCGGCTGATCTCATTGCCCTGGACAAGTTCTCAGGTACCAATTCCAGGTAAATGTTGTTGCTTTCATCCACACCTTCAATACGATATTCATCAAAGATGTTACCCTGAAACATATAAGTTACATATAAATGGAATGGATGGATGGATGGGTAGATGAATGACAATTGAATGGACGGATGGCTGGTTGAATGGATGGATGAATTGATGGATGGATGAAACTTGGGTATGTTTTAGTGACCAATGTTCTGGAAAACCATCTACAACTTTCATAAAACACCCTCAACCCCCTCCCCCCCTTCCTTCTCTTTCCCCTGAATACACCAATATTGTATCTAAACTCTAAACTATGTTATATTTTTTGACACTTCTTTCCAATAAGCAACACTTCCCCTTCCCCCCCTCCCCCGCAAATCTCATTTGCTTGGTTGCTTGTATCTGCCACCGCGGGCCCGCCACAGCACTGGACGGATCAAACTTTCAAAAACTTCGCTTCAAAACGAAAACTGTGAACTGAATTCTTGCTGAAAACTAACCTGGGTAAGTTCACACCACATAGAAACACCACCACTTGTTCCCGCGGTTTCAGAAAAGATAAAATACAGCTTCGTTGGAGTGAGACGAAGGACACAAGTCTTGGCCATCCTCGATAAGGTAGCTAAGACACCTAGAAAAAAATAATATAATAATAATATAATATAATATGATTTATATAGCGCCTATACAAGTCGGCTCTAAGCGCTGTAAAATATATATAAATTATGATTCAAAAGCTAGTTTAAACAAATGAGTCTTAAGGTCTTTCTTAAAAGTTTTTAGACATGA